AATAGAAAATTTTTTTCCCGAAAAGGAGGGTTTTTTTTTTTTTTAAAAATTTTTTTTTGTTTTTTTTTTTTTTTTTTTTTTTTTTTTTTTTTTTTTTTGCATTTAGCAGATGGGAACAATTTTGGGGGTCCCAAAAAAATATTTTTTTTTCTCAATCTCATAAATCCGGCCCTGATTGTGTGCATACCCCAGAAGTCCCTATAACCTCCACTTTTCTCCTGAATCGTTCTTCTTTATGCGAAACGGTTAAAGACAAAGTAAAAATGGAAGCAAAGTTCCTGATGTGAATCCAGTGCCTAAAAATACCCCCAAGTGGGAGCATAATGCTTACATTTCCACCGAAGGTGTCATATAATCATCTCACATCAGGATGTTACGTAACCGCAGCTCGGTGGTCTTGTTATTAGGACTTGAGATGTGTGTCTTATCAGCAGCCGTGGTGATTTATCGTCTAATCCCTAAAAACTTCCCACAGCCATCACCTCCCGGTGAATTTAATCCAACTTCCTTACTAATTCCCCCTCTTCAATCCCTGGCAAGCAGCCGTATCTCCATCTGCACAGACGCGACACACACGAGTCAAACGTGGGTATTAACGCTTTTTTTCCCCCTTTTCTGTCAAAGTTTCTAATCTTCAGTGCCTAAAAACAGAAAATCTTATTTATTTATTTTTTTAAAGGCTAAAATAAGGAATTTAAGGTCAAAGGGAGTTGTATCAAACCTCCAACTTTATGTTTGCATCCAGTGTTTTTGTCTGTCAGAGGCCGAGATAAATTTTGGTTTCAGGACTTTGACCCAGAAACCCAAACACTCTTCCGCTGTGGGCAAATATTTGCTCCGTCTCCATTTATTTTACTACACAACATCTTATTTCTATCTGTAGTGCCCTTGTCGGGATTGTCGTGCGGCTTGTTTAACTCGATCCTGTTGCGTCTTGGTGTGAATCGGCAATAGTTTAAAGGGATGCAGGCAAGGTCTCAGACTTAGACTCAGCACAGATTAGGAATGTTTGCACCCTGAGATGCAGGCTGAGGGAAGGCTTTTTCTTTCCCCACTTCTCTGCCAGGAAACAAAGCTAAATAATAAAATAAAACAGCCAATGGATTTTACATCCTTTTTTTTTTATTTTTTATTTTTGCAAATAAAACCTTATAGATTTGTGTTTAACCTCCATCCCATTCAAATCAATGTTTTGGAAAACCACTTTTTGGGGATGTGGTCATTCTCCCACATAGATGTAATCCAGCTGGAATGTGAAGCTCTGCCCCAATCTCAAATCTTTTGCAGCCGCTAACAGGCAACCCCACAGCATAGTAGTCCCACCACCTTACCTCACTGTGGGGATGATGTGTTTGATGGTCCACACACCTTTTTTGCTTGTGGCTGCAAAAGTTTCATTCCATTTTCATTTGGCCAGAAAATCGCTGATACGTTTGCTATTTCGCATAACCAGTAAATAAGAAGTTTATTTCACCGCGTGGATTTAAGACAGACGATCTTAATTAACAACTCATAATATAATTAACTCTACTTCTGTTTCTGAGTAGATGCCAGGAGGCGGTGAGAGCGAAACCAAGTCCATGGTGGAGAGAAACTGCAAAAGGTGAGCGGTGTGTGTGTGTGTGTGTGTGTGTGTGTGTGTGTGTTTTTGTTTATAATAGCTTGTGGGGGCCATTTTCCTGACACATACTACGTTGTGGGGACCCACTGCTCCTTGTGGGACTGAAGCCTGGTCCCCTGTAGAAATGAATGGAAAGTCCCCACAAAGATGGTCACGCAAACATGTGTGTATGTGTTTGTGCGTGTGTGTGTGTGTGTGTGTGTTTGGGGTGGGAGTGGGATTTGTTTGTTGCTCCAGCCTTTTCATGCCCTCCAGCACCGTGACCTTTACGGTAGGGAAGGATCAGCGCTTACAATCAGCGCAAATCCCAACCACATACATTCTCACCCCGCAACACATTGTTGGGCAAAGTCAGCTCAGGTGATTTATGGCACAGGAAAAAGAAAAGAAAAAGGAAAAAAAAAAAAACCCGGTGACCTGTGGTGAGGCGAACAATGAGCTGCCGAGTGAGAACTGCTGCGGACGCTTCGGCAGAAGGTAAACATCTTAATTCACGTTAATGGAGTGCGGATGTGCTTTCTGCTTTAGGAAATAACAATAAAGTCTTTTCAGGGTTCGCTAACGGAGGCTGATAGACTTGGAAAGAGAGAAAGAGAGAGAGGGATGGGGGGAGGAGAGATTTGTCAAGGTGTCCTGTAATGTTTGCAAGTGCGACATCAGTCATAAGCCAACTGCTTGCTCAGGAACTTGTCACTGACACACTTTAACCTTGACTTCCAGAGTGTGCACTATTCATATACAGCAGTTATTTATAGTATAGTGTCCCAGTTCTGGTGGCTCCTATTTTTATTTTCACACTGGATGCTTTCTGGAAGGACTCGAACTGACATCCATACAATTATTTCTTTACAGAAATGAGCATCAAACCGGCAGAGATTTATTGAAAGACCTGACCGGTGTCGCACCACAGGAAGCTGCCGAGCTTCCTCAGAGCTGATTTGGCTCACTGGGGGGATCAATCAATAAATCAATAATTCTTTACAGTTCATTATCTAAATGCATCGCTTCGCTTCATCTGATCAGAGAGGCTCAAAGTGGGTGATCTGCAAATGAATTCAATAGCATACAGAGTTACAGGCACGTGCAGACGGGGACCTGGGGGTGCTTGAGCACCTGCCCTTTTTGCCCCAAAGTGCCCTATGGTCAATTTTTTTATTTTATTTTATTTTTTTTGGTATTATTATTTTCAAAGCCCTCTTCTGACACATAATAACATGTACTGAAATTATTATTTTTTTTTGTTTTGTTTTGTTTTTTTGTACAACATAATAAGCCTTCCGGTCACCTCGTTACCTTTGACCTTTTGCCCGTGAC